TTGAATGCTATCAGTCGTACATTGCACTTCACAGGTCGAAACGCAAGTCAAACCATTGTACCACTCTGTACTCTCTGTGTTGTAGTTATGGTACATTCGATCGACACTCGACTTACCGCCGCCGTGGACTCGTAGAGATCACTAACAACAAGTTTGCAGACCGCATATTATTCTTGATATGATTTTTAGAGGTCATTTGGGCTGTACGCTAATCGCCCAACAAAACGCCTATCAGAATTCTTCTCGGTAATAACGGTGTAAAAAGTTGCTGCCTGCTGGGTATATACGATTTGGAGTTTGGACCATCACGGTCTGCAATAGAAGAATGGTATCCCTGTATCCGGTGAGGCTATGGTCAATTCTCTGCGTGAACTCGATCCGGAAAGCTGTTACTGGAGTGCCAGAGGGGTCATTTTTACGGAATGACAAACCATAGTTCATACAATATATGACTGGACTTCGTTTGAATACTGTTCACTGTTTCCACCGTAGTGGAGTCAGTAAATTATATTGACTGTAACCTGATACTTTTGATATTGAAGGAAATAATTCTAAGTCTAAAGGCAACAACAGGCTAATATTCGGGATCTGCGGCTATCTTTCAGCTAGAAAAAGCTCCAGTTCTAGTGCCCTTGTAAGCTGCAGTGCGGGTTACGGACAACAAAGCAACAAGGCAAGATGGGCATCACATCTGCACCGCCCCTCGAGAACTTGCCATCTTCCCAGTTAGGGCTTGTACTGTACGAGTACAGAGCGATCAGAAACTAGGCTGTACCCAACATGACGCCACCCTGTAAGAGGGCTCAGAACAGTCCTCTTACTCGTCAAGAGATATGAATCGAGTCAAGGGGGTTGTCTCAGGTTCTCGCACAGTTGAACTCTTTTTAAACGTCCACCCTTCCTGCTTTCTGGATAGGTTCTTCTGTAGTTTTACTTTTAAGAGTTCAGTTTGTTCTGGATCATTCCTAAACCGTCGTATCGTTTAGCGTTTGTTATCTTTTCATCCCTTATCGTCGTTGCTGAGGATATCGGCGGAGACCTGTGGGTGTTAGGCGGGGCTAGTAAGGTAGGTGGAGCATATTTTATTCTGCAAAAGTAGTCGCAAAGTGAGCGAAATCCTTTTTTCTTCTCGTAACAATTCAAATAGTTTGAATCCCTCTGGTTCGAATACAATTCTTTTCAATGATTGTCCATCACTATGGAATTGCAAGTCTGGCGTCACTTCATTATTGTATTCGTTATTGTATGTCTAATGAAATGTGATAGATTGGTTGATACCAGTGCCTTGCGGTGCTACTATCCCGTAAAATGCGTACATCGTTAGCCTTGTCATTTGCTACCTTACTTTTCAATGCTTGCTTTGCCGATGGAAAAACATATGAGACGAGATTTGAGGGGGTGACCTGGGATGATGATAAGTGGCGTATCAAAACCACAAAGTTTGACCAAGGACGTTTCCAATCGCGGATGTCTTTAGCCAATGGATATCTAGGTATCAATGTTGCTGCGGTAGGACCCTTTTTCGACGTCGACGAAATCGGCACTTTCGATGGCACAGCTGGTTGGCCACTGTTCAACCAGAGACAGAGCTTCGCAACGATCAGTGGATTTTGGAATCTTCAACCTAAAGTAAAAATGACTAATTTTGAATGGCTTGACCAGTATGGTGGTGAGAGCGTTATTAGCGGAGTTCCTCATTGGGCTGGTCTAGTTGTTAAAGTTGGTAATAAGATACTAGACGCCAACGTCCATGCTTCGCAAATCACAGACTTCTCCTCAACTTTGGATATAGCAGCCGGTCTGCTGAGCTGGAGCTATATATGGATTCCTGAAGATCAAACTGCAATAGAGATTGAATACTCAATGTTCGTCAACAAACTTTACATCAATCGAGCGGCCCTGCAACTTAAATTGAGAGCGTCTCGGGATGTAGATGTTACGGTTATTGATGTTCTCGACGGCAACTGCGCGGTTCGCAGCGATCCGGTTGGCACAGGATATGAATCCGAGACGCCGACAATATGGTCAGCGGTATCTCCAAATGGATTGAGCGACGTGAAAGCATACATCTATTCAACTCTTGTTCTAGGTCCAGACGTGAATATCTCGACAAGATCCGAGCTCATCGATGCTCCATATCTCAGCAGAGATCCGTCAACCGTCGCTCAGTCGATCGTAGTGGGGCTAAAGGAAGGTCGAAGTTCCGTTATCGAAAAGTTCATTGGAGGAGCTTCGACAGATGCATTCCAAGATCCTCAAAACGTTGCCTCCAAAGCTGCAGCGGAAGGCGCTAGTGCTGGTTTTGATGCAGAACTGCGTGAACATAGTCAGGAGTGGGCGAGTATCATGACAGGAAATACAGTTGACGACTACTCTATTTCGGAGACTGGACTTCTGCCAGAGGATGAAAATATCGTGGAACTCCAGATCACAGCTGTGACAAACCCCTTCAGTCTTCTCCAGCAAATCATCGGAGTCAATGCGATTGAGAAGGCTAATGGGAATACATTACTGGACACCAATAGCATTACCGTTTGTGGCCTTGGCTCCGACTGCTACGCTGGGTACATCTTCTGGGATACCGAAGTATGGATGGCTCCTGGATTAGTAGTAGCGTATCCGCAGGCCGGAAAACAAATTGCGAACTATCGAGTACAGAGGTATCCACAGGCAAAAGAGAACATCAAAACCGCCTACCAATCATCTAAGAATAATACTGGGCGGTACAGCGAAAACAGTGCGGCGTTTCCATGGACTAGCGGACGATTCGGTAACTGTACCGGTACTGGGCCATGCTTCGATTATGAATATCATCTGAATGGCGATATTGGCCTTGAATTCCTCAACTATTATTACGTGACTGGAGATGTTGACTTTTTCAGGGATGAACTATTCCCTATCTTTGACTCAATTGCTTCCTTCTTCGTAGAGACTCTCGATTACAACGAGACAAGCGGGAAATATGACCTCGCAAATGCTACTGATCCTGTTAGTATGTGACTCTAATTCACAAGATAGTCCTGCTTATTTCGATAGGACGAATACGCAAATCACATAGACAATCCGGGCTTTACCATGCCCTTGATACAATCCCATCTAACGACAGCTAACGACCTACGAGCCAAGTTTGGTAAACCTCGCGTTACTGAATGGCTTGAAATCAGCGAAAAAATCAACATTCCAGTACATGAACCTGCTGATATCATCCTGGAATATGCTACCATGGATGGCTCGATTTCCGTAAAACAAGCAGATGTTGTGCTTATCGATGACTTTTTGGACTGGCCTAATTCTTACACATTGTCAAACTTGAAATATTATGCTGGCAAGCAATCAGAGTATGGACCGGGTATGACTTTCGGAGTTTTCAGTGTTGTCGAGAATGCTATTGCACCAGCTGGATGCGCCTCTTATACATACGATCTATATGCATCGAAGCCATATATTCGTGCTCCTTGGTTTCAGTACTCTGAGCAGCTTCTTGACGACTTTGAAACCAATGGTGGTACACTCACTGCTTTCCCTTTCTTAACTGGAATGGGAGGGGCTAATCGGGTTGCTGTCTTTGGATATCTCGGCCTCAAGTTAATGATTGATAGCTTCCATATCAATCCATCATTACCGCCACAGATTCCCCGCATCAATTATAGGACAATTTATTGGCAGGGCCATGCCATCGATGCAGTTTCCAATTATACGCACACCACTTTGGTTCGCCTAGACATGTCTCTCGAAACCGCCAATTCAGAGTACGCCAATTTTCCGATTCCTGTGACAGTTGGACGCGAAAATACACGGTATCAGCTACGAGCGGGTGAGACGTTGACAATTCCGAATCGTCAGGTTGGCAGCAAGACTAGTGTCTCAGGGAATATCGCTCAGTGTCTTCCTGCAAGCTCTCGACAGGACACTTTACCAGGCCAATTCCCGCTTGCCGCAATAGATGGTGCTATCAGCACAAAGTGGCAACCGGTATCGGCTAATATAACCTCGTCAATGACTGTGGACCTGAGCTCCGTGCCTTTCCAACCTGTCATTGGGTTCTCTTTCGACTGGGCGGAGAGTCCACCGGAATCTTTTTTCATAACTTTTTCGAATGAAAGTACGGCATTTGATGCTTTGGAGGTGTTCTCCCTCAATGATGTTGAGATTTCTAAACCCTATGTCGCTGCTGAGGCAGATCTGATCGTTGCGTATCAGAGTAACGGCACAAATATTACTCTCGAGACTCCGGTTTGGACTGGGAAATACGCAACATTACATATCAGAGGGAACCAGGCACATACTGATACGAACGGAGTGGGTGCTACTGTTGCTGAGTGGGCGATCATCGGAAAGAGTGGACAAAGTGTACTTGAAAGTAGTGCACAAAGTATTTACCGGTCCTTATTAGGTAGGTGGTTTATGACTTGATGAAAGAGGTGGATATTTCGTTGACACTAGTTAGATGTTGAGGAATAATGTTGATGATGTCTGTAACGATTTCATGACATATTTCAAGAATATATAGGAGAAAATTTCTGGTATTGAAGTCCACCACACGCGAAGGGTTGCTGTAGTTGATAAGAGTGCAGCGGTCACGTCTTAGGAACTCATAACTTGATGAAACTCAATCGAAGATGATCGAATTTCAGAGGTCATGATAAGTTGGCGGCATCATCCCGTCTCACTTTCCAGACTTTCTTACAACCCGATTAGGTCAAGTGCGGATCTCCCGGTACCAAGATCTGATATTCCGCCCTACGCCACAGCAAGGTCTCAAAGATAGAATTGTGAGACATGATAATTTATAAAGATAAATAGTTGTTGCAATGAATATTCTGAGTAGTAATATCAATTTCTTGGGGTAAAGATTGATGTTTCAAATCAATTCCCCTATTTAAGTGCGAAATTCCCGCTCCGTCCTTCGCAATCTTCCCAATGCTTCAATACATACATACCATCACAACCCGCAAAAGAATAGTAAGAAAGACATCAGGAATCCAAAAATGCAAAATAATCGATGCCGATGGGACTCGAACCCACAATCTTTGCCAGACAGCTATAACCGGAAAGCAACGCGTTGCCATTACGCTACGGCACCTCAGGAGGAATTGACAAACTGTCATGCGGCAATTTCCGGCTCATCTCTTATAAAACAAAATACTTCTATCCCGATTAGGAAAAAAACATTGGACAGTACAGCCGAGTATTTCGGTTCCAGATTCCGATTTGGCCTACTTATCCCCACTATATCCTTTCTCCACTTGTTGGACAGCTTTTGATATGATAAAGGCCCTACACTCTCTTGTACGAGTATTTTATTTTCGGAGGCGGTGCTTATCAGTTTATATTCGACATTGAGATTCATTAGCTATTTCTGTACTTTATCCTGCAATCAAAGTTACCACTAGTTATTCCACACCATATGATTACTCCGCCTTGAAGTCAAGAAATTGAATGAGTTGAAGTGAGCTAAAGTGAGAGAAAAGTGCACCGGATTAGGAAAAACTATAACAGTTAATCTCAGGTACAGATGTTACTTCTAAGAACTGGACAATATACTCTGCGACAATGGGGGTACGCTTAAAAACCAGAGCAAATGAACATTATCCTCCGTATAAGCTAATCCACCCCCTTAAGCGCTTTGTATCCCAGACACGGATTTAGACATATCCTCCACCAGAGTACCATGCGGAGATGCTTCGCAACAGCAAACATTCGTCAAGAGCAATACAACACCAATCCCCAAATCGAGTTGGTTCGAATCAATGACCGATCAATCAAAGTACGTGATGATAGTCGGAAGTGGTATGATGAAGTGTACGTTAACGAAATCCTGATCTGAATACTCACCGCTTACCCACCTATAGGCCTGACATGTGGCTGAGGTTAGTACCGTCGTTGACCGAGGGCAATTCCTTTGTATTCACTAAATTAGGGACAACTGCCAATGTAATAAATGTGTCCATACAGCTACAAAGCAGCGGCTAGTAGAGACATTTGATGTAAGACAAGGTCCTCGTTTTTGAGTACTATTCATGACCGTGAACAAGATTCCCGAAGAGATTCATATCACCTCTTGCGTGAGAGAAGGTCGGAATGTAAAAGTAAAATGTATGACCTCGGACACAGCTCAATTCTAGATTGACCCATTGATTATTATAGGGAGTGATGGACATGATAGCATATATGACCTTGGTTGGCTTGCAGCAAGTGCCCATTCGAAGAGCGCAGTTTCTCGACAGGGACTGAGAGAGTATACAACTTCAACACTATAATAGTGTAAGCAGTATTGACCTAACTAGGCTAACTTTCTGGACCTCGTCGGTGGGACAAAATCCACCAGAGGTTCCTTATGAGGAAGTCATGAATTCAGAAAAAGGGGTTGCTCAATGGTTAGACCGAATCGTGAGTTGCAATCCGTAGCTATGGCTCGGTCCACGCTAATAACTGACAGCGTCAATACGGATTCTGTTACGTTGATGGTTGTCCACCTACTCCAGAAGCCACTGAGAAGCTCTTGGAACGAATAGCTTTTATAAGAAACACTCACTACGGGGGATTCTGGGACTTCACATCCGATCTGTCTTCTAAAGATACGGCATACACAGACATAGCTTTAGGTGCACATACGGACACAACATATTTTTCGGATCCAGCAGGTCTCCAGCTTTTCCATTTGCTGTCGCATACTGACGGTTCGGGCGGTGAATCATTATTAGTCGACGGGTTCGCCGCAGCCGATACCTTGAAAAAGGAAGACGGATATGCATATGATACCTTGAGCGAAGTGAATGTATACTCACACGCTAGTGGAAACGATGGTATCAGTATTCAGCCTTATCGATCATTCCCTGTACTGAATCATGACCCGGAATTTGAAAACCTTTTGCAAGTTAGGTGGAATAATTCAGACAGAGCGGCTATTGATTTACCTCTAGGTGATGTTGAAGATTGGTATGCAGCTGCAAGGTATGTATAATTCCTTAATTAGTCGTGGTAGAAATGCTATTATCCTGTTAGGAAATGGGTGCGTATTATCAATTCTCCTAAGAACCAATATTGGGAGCAGTTACGACCAGGGAGACCCTTAAGTAAGAATGCCCTAATTCGATAGACTCTGTCTGTCAACTAACGATGCTTAGTTTTTGACAACTGGAGAGTCCTGCATGGGCGAGCAGCGTTTTCCGGAAAGCGTAGGTTATGCGGCGGATACAGTAAGTCCTCGATCTACGTAACTGTAATGAATGTTCATCATCTATCTAGTCAACCGTGATGATTTTATATCCCGTTATAAGATGCTTAACTGGGGCCCTGAGAAGACATTACAATACCTTGCCGTGGAATAAGTCAGTGGGAATTGAAAGATGTTATCATGTCTATGCATGATTGAATTAAACAATTACATCGGACACGCTGGGTATTGACCGGGCTATTGTATAACGATTGAGTATATATCAGAATGTACTCTACGTTCGAGAGGTACCGTACTGTGTGTTTACATAGTTAAAACGCTTGGTGGTTATTAAGGTAGAAATTGCTTAGTCATGGGGGAGCTCCGCTGGGGCCACCTCAATGTGCAGTCGTAACCTCGTCAACCTAAAGCAACCTTGAAGCTCCAAAACACCACAAATCTCATCCTCTTCCCCTTCTACCTGCCACCGCAATCCTTGTTGGACCTCAGTCCAGCTTTCCGAGACTTTTTGTGACACCCCTCCTCCAAACCCGCCTACTTATCCTCACACCGCCGCAATGTCCACACTGGAAGACCTTGATGATCTCGAGCGCGAAGGCGAGGACAAGAAGAAGCAAGGTGGCGATGACAAAGATGGAAAGAAGTCGGAACAGAATGGTGATACAGACATGAAGGATGCTGCCGAAGAGAAGGAGGAAGATGGCATAGATGAGGAGATCCTTAACTCAAGCACAAGAGATATCGTTGCTCGGAGGCGGTTACTAGAGAATGATACTAGAATCATGAGGAGCGAATTTCAGCGGTTAATGCACGAGAAAGCGACGATGTTAGAGAAGATAAAGGATAATCTGGAGAAGATAGAAAATAACAGGTATGCGTTCGAACTCGCTGGTTATGCTTTACGGGCGTGATCTGTGCCCGATATTCAATACGGAAAGATGTCTGATTCAATTTCTACAGGCAACTACCATACCTAGTGGGTAATGTCGTTGAAATCCTTAATCTAGACGTCGAAGCAGAAGCGGTAGAAGAGGGCGCTAACATCGACCTTGACGCCACCCGAGTTGGTAAATCCGCCGTTATCAAAACATCTACCCGACAAACCATCTTCCTTCCCCTCATCGGCCTTGTCGACCACGAGAAGCTCAAACCTGGTGATCTCATTGGTGTTAATAAGGACTCCTACCTCGTACTAGACACACTTCCCGCTGAGTACGACAGCAGAGTGAAGGCAATGGAGGTTGATGAAAAGCCAACAGAGAAGTATACCGATGTAGGAGGGCTGGACAAGCAGATCGAAGAGCTTGTAGAGGCTGTTGTATGGCCGATGAAGGAAGCAGAACGCTTCAAGAAGATCGGTATCAAGGCACCTAAGGGTAATGCCAGTTCCTTCTCATATTCTTAGTGTAGTTTATTAATCTTAATCTACAGGTGCGTTGATGTATGGTCCTCCCGGTACGGGCAAAACCCTCCTCGCCCGTGCCTGCGCCGCTCAAACAGATGCTACTTTCCTCAAGCTCGCCGGACCTCAACTCGTACAGATGTTCATCGGTGACGGTGCGAAGCTCGTACGAGACTGCTTCGCTCTGGCGAAAGAAAAAGCACCCTCCATCATCTTCATTGACGAACTGGACGCTGTTGGTACAAAACGTTTCGACTCCGAGAAGTCCGGTGATCGTGAGGTCCAACGTACCATGTTGGAGCTACTCAATCAGCTCGACGGTTTCGCCTCTGACGACAGAGTCAAAGTGCTCGCCGCCACCAACCGTGTAGATGTGCTCGATCCAGCCCTGCTCCGTTCAGGCCGTCTGGACAGGAAGATCGAGTTCCCGCTTCCCAACGAAGAGGCACGTGCTCAGATTCTCAGGATCCATAGTCGGAAGATGACGGTGGATGAGGCAGTTAACTGGAATGAGTTGGCACGGAGTACGGATGAGTTCGGTGGTGCCCAGCTTAAGGCTGTGTGTGTGGAAGCGGGTATGATTGCGTTGAGGAGCGGGCAGTCGAAGATCAATCACGAGAATTATGTCGATGCGATTGCGGAGGTGCAGAGCAAGAAGAAGGAGATCATTAGTCTTTATGCGTAGTTCATGTGGAATGCACATGGGCGAATAGACATAGATGAATAAAAGATTGAACGATATGACTAGCTATATGAGAAGATGATATATCAATGCGCTATGCAGGACCACCTCATCTAACGCGTATGTACGGTATCCAACTTATGATGTGTATAACCAAGAAGCAAACATAACGCAGCTACGAACTCAGAGCATGCTATTAACACTTCTTCATATGATCATCACTTCATTCAATCCCACCAACCTACGTCTTAATAAGTTCATCCTTCATTAAACGCACACTTACCCCCTATATGCACTTACCACCCATATGTACACCTGCTACCCACATGTCTATCATCTACAAGCACACCTACCACCCAAACTTCTCAACCGCAACCCCGACATCCCACCCCTCCCCAGCCAACTCCGCACACCCATTCCTAATAACTCTATTCATACCACCAGGCCCACTAACAACCACCCTCACTTTCCCTCCCCCCTCACTTTCCGCAGTTCCGCAATACTCTTCAACCCATGCCCTAACAATAGCCCTCGCATCCGGCCTTCCGACCTGCACGGTGGGCGCCGGAACTAATACCTCAGCCCCCAGCTCTCTGAACTCCTCAAGCCGCTCCTCAGGAATCCACTCGCGGTGCAACGGCGCGTGAATGACCCAGAGCAGACACACCTTCCTCGGCCCGCGGTTTCTCAGCGGACGAGCCTCGGGATCGGCGTCTGCGTTCAACAGTGCCCAGACGAGCGGGAACGCGACAGCGATTCCAGAGCCCCCGGCCACGACGACGGCGAGGTCCGCGGCTCGCAGCATGCGCAGTGCCTGCGAGG